AAGGATGCTGTAAGTTCTTCCGCGACAATTGAATGAGTAACTCCATGTAAAGTGTTTTGAACACTGCCATTTATAACAGACATGCTCAATAATATTAAGTTCATTTTTTGTCTAGGTTCCTTCAACTCTTTTTATAGAAATATTCTCCTCTATCCTTTCCTTAAGAGGTCATTATGTATCTACAATGTTTTTCCAAACTCTTGACTACAAATCGTCTCCTTTGGATGACTTCCAATACATCATTCCTCTTCTCAAAGCATAAATCCCAGAACAACAGAATAGAACAGATGGAACCATATCACCCACTTAGTCTAGACAACTTATTCCTTTAAAAGTTGTCTCTTCTACTGGCTCACTATAGGGCCAGAATATTGGGTGAATATATTCTGACTTATATTGGAAGCCGCAAAGGATGCACAAACTAACATCGCAACTAAGATGAGCTTTTAATATTAACCAATAACCAAGCATCAATAATGCTACCTGCATGACAATTTGGATGATGCCCAAATCCAGGCGATCATGGCTGCTTTGTTACAAAACTCATAGTGGACCATTCACATTGTATTCAGTGCTATGGGCAACCACTGTAGTTGGACCATGAGGCAGCTCCTTAATATGACATTGATAAAGTTAAAGATGGAAGAAACTAAAGCCCTTTATCAGTGCACCAAGGGGTCTCAAGGAGTTATTATATCTGTTAGATGGAAGCAAAGTAACACTTATAGAGATATTGGTGCAGCTCTCAAACTTTTGTTAAAGGATCACCTAGAGTTCTTGTTAAGAATGTTAACACTGGGTTCCATTCGTAGAGAAGTTGATTCACTAGTTCTGGGGATCATCAGCCCAGATGACTCAAATGCAGATAACTTCTAGGCCACAGCTGAAAAAAAAGTACTAATTTCAGTAAGTTTGGACCCAAACCTAGTCCATCTCTTTGCTTGTGCTTAGCAGGGCAAAAAGTCACTAGCAGCCTTGAGAAGGTCTACACAAAGGAAGGGGTGATATTTGCCAAGGGCTTGGATGGGGGCTGTGTCAGTATTTATTGCTCTTGCTAGCTGGGCTCTGGACAAGTACTATATCATGATGACCTTTCCATATAATGGGCAGTAATCATCAAGTATAACTACGTTGTAACACATGCGCAGAACTCATTTTCTTCCTGAAAACCAGACCCAGTACTCAGCCTCCTACAATACTTCAGCACCATGGAGAGCCCAAAGTACAGGGTAGGCTGAGAGCTCTCTCTACTAAGAAAGTGCTGCAATTTGGCAGCTTAAGGTTCATGGAGGGAGATGAGAAAGATGAGAGCTGTGTTGGCCATGGTCTCTGGGTGGCCATGTCTTAGTGGAGTCCCTCCCATTTGATGGAGGCTGCTCTCATCCTGATAGGCCTCATTATGACGTTGTTGTTGTTTATAACTCAACCAGAGGCCTTAAGTGGGGACCTATATTATGATCTGGGTATATAAACATACACTTAAAAAATCATTGAACTGTACACTTGCAAACTGTTTTTACTATATTTATGCTATATCTCAATACATTTATAAATATTAATGCCAAGTGCTGATGAGGGTTCAGGAAAATAGGCACCATCGTGACTTCTCCTCTTGCCTCTCTGCATTACACTCTCATATCTCCAGAAATCAGAGGTAGTCTAAACCGTATAAAGTGCTCTTTGTTAGATCCTGCTCCACCCCTATAGAAACTAGATTCTACTCCTTTCAAATCCTAGTTTCCTATCTGTCAAATGGGGATAATAAAGATAACTTTGGAGAGCGGGTGGGGGAATGGAATGAGCAATGTGCATAGCTTATACATCCTCAGGAGACATTGGCATCATGCTGGGGGAGGTCTGCTTGCCTATAACTACTAGACAGCCATCCACCTGAATTCAACTATTAGCCGCTCTCAAGATTCTTGCTGATCCCCAGAAGAGTGAGGATCTTCAAGTGTTAATGTCTTCCAGTGGGAGTCACTTTCATGGGAGCAGGGGATGGCATATAATGGGCTCCCTGTTCTATTTTCCTAACTGAGAATAGCTACTCTCATCTATTTAGTTTCTTATACTTCTTGTCCTGCCATGTCCCAGTTTCTGATGTCTCTTCTTTAATGGATTATTTTAGGAATAAGAGTAAAAACAGCTGCTATTTATTGAGCAAGCACAATGTTTTAGATACTCTACTGGTATTTTATACACATTATGTCATTCAATTTTTTTCAAAATAATCCTCATTTTATAGATGTGAAAAATGAGACTCAGGAAGTTTAACTGACCCTCCCACATTTCACAGCAACTAAACAATGGAACTGAGATTTGAACCCAAACATGTAACATTTCAAAGGATACATCCCTAACCAAGATGTTATTGCGTGTAGGCAAAGGGAGTTCCATTATGCCTCAAGACTGAGACACTCAGCTAGGTCTTCCTAGTGTCACCTGCCATGTTTGACCCATCACTTCTTTAGCACTTGTACACTCTGTGGTTATTTCCAAATTTTCTCTGATCTCTATGAATTCTCTGCCTTAGCTCTCCTTGACTCAGTCTCTCCTTTCTGCTTAGAGATCTAGATGAGAATCCTGCAGAACTATTCATAAATCTGCTTTAATTCAGGCTCCACTCATTCACTCAACACATATTTATTGAGCATCCATCATGGATCAAGCAGTGTGCTTGTCACTAGGGATGCAATATGCCTCCCAGAGGACACAACTCCTGCCCTCACAGAGATTCCAGGCAAGAGAAAGAAACAGACAAGTCTACAGGCAGTTATAAAGTTTTAAGTTTATGATACAGGTCAGAATAGGGACCATCAAGAAAGGGAAACTTTTAATTGGCCACATTTTTGTCTATCCTTCCAAGAGATGACAAAAGTTTTGCAGTTTTCCTGTATGATCCCTTGATTTTGTTATTTCCTAGATGTGTGCTATCTGAAAATCTGATAAATATGGAATCACAGGCTTCACACTAATCCTATGAGATAGGTATTACTATCATTCCCTTTTCACAGATGCAAAGACTGAGGCTCAGAGAGGTAAGTCATCCACTTGGCTACAGAAGTGGCAGATGACAGCACAAGTATTTGAATTCATGGTTGCATTATTCTATAGCCTCTGCTTTTAGCCAGTAAACTCTTTACTATGACCATCAGCATGTCACTTAGCCTTTTAGTGCTCCATTTCTACATGCATGAAAATAAATATTCAAAATTTGAATGTGCCTCTAAAGACTAACATTCTATAGCAGTGACTGGCGAGGATAAAAGGTAAGGTCACATGGCTTCAACAGTGGTCAAAATTTGCCCTATTGGTTTTTCCAACCTCATAGTTCATCACTGTTATTCTCCCATCCCCATATTCCAGCCACATTCAGGTTCTGGCAATTCTTCCAATTCCAGGCTCCATGAGCCCAGGTGCCTAGCTGCGTCTGTAAATTTTGTTCTTTCTGCCTCCCTCTGCCATCCCTCTGTCATCTCACACTCACAAGTTTGCCTGTCTATGGGCACATTTGATTTGATGGGGACAAAACAAAAGTCTTGTGCTTAGGTCAGAAAATCAACTGAATGTATAGAAGATGAGACATACTGAATTTATTTGCAATTTAAGTGAAAAACAAGTTGGAGTTAGTTCCCTATAGTGAAGCGGAAGAAATCATAGGATGCATTAATAGAAGTCTGGATTTTTCAGAGAAAGGAGGTGGAAGTTCCACTTTGGAAAGAACATACGGAGGGGACTGATGTTAAGTTCTGAATATTGCAACATAAAAACTGGAGATAGGGGCCGGCCTGGTGGCGCAGTGGTTAAGTGCGCAGGTTCTGCTTTGGCGGTCCGGGGGTTCGTCGGTTTGGATCCCGGGTGCAGACATGGCACTGCTTGGCAAGCCATGCTATGGCAGGTGTCCCACATATAAAGTAGAGGAAGATGGGCATGGATGTTAGCTCAGGGCCAGTCTTCCTCAGCAAAAAGAGGAAGATTGGCAGCAGACATTAGTTCAAGGCTAATCTTCCTCAACAACAACAAAAAACAATGGAGATAAAATTGAGCTACGTTGAGATAAGGCTGAAAAATACAAATTAAGGATCTCAAAAACATTCAATACACACCTAATTGGAAAAAGATTAAAAAAAAATAACGGTACTAATATGGTGCTAAATGTCAGAAGGGTGGTTATCTCTGGGAGGGCATTTACTGGGAGGGGACATATGGAAGCTGAAAGTGCTGGAAACATTTTCTGGTTCGATCTGGGTGAACTTTTACATAAAAATTTATTAAGCTGCATGCTTAATATGTCATCTTTATTGTATTTATGATAACCTCAATACAGTTAAAAATAGTAATGTCAAGTGTTTGGACAAGCATTTGGAGAAACGACGCCATCATATCACACACTCAAGAATATAAACTGGAACAACTTTCTAGAGGGCACTTTAGCAATAGATATCGAGCACGTTAATCAGTTTCTTGGACCATGCTTGGCGAATGATTATAGTGACTACAGCGTCTCATTAATTCAAATTAATTGGGTGAAGAGTAAATGGTAGGATATAACATACTTGTAAACTACATTTACAGAGAATGAGAGATGAGTATTCTCCAGGACATTCAGGGAATTCCAACAAAGCTCAGACGATCTCCTCTGTCATATTTTTTTAATTAGCAAATACTATTTTTTGGGGGGGATATATTTAGGTAGGAATAGAATGCACAAGCATGATAAGAAACAGTAGTTTCTCTGAAGTAGCTCAATCTTTCTGCACTCATATTTGAATTCTTCCTTCGCTTAACAAATCTTATCCTTGTCCATGGAATAAAAGCAATCTTAGTTCCATTAAAACAATCTAGAATTCTAAATGATAGGGGTCTTTTACAAGGCCTTTGGCTGCTCCTTTTTTTTGGTAATATAATTTTGGGGTGGGGCCGTGCATGGAGGACCTTCGAGCAGAGAACGGAGCAAGGTGCTGAGTAGGTGTGGGCTATCTCCGATGCTTAGCTCTTACCGTCTGCAATGAAGTGCTCAGGCACATGCAGAGTCACCTTCACCGTGAGTGGACAGGACATCTGACTGCCACACACCATGGCCAGGATGCAGGAGCTCACAGCAATCAGCGTCAGGGCCGTCTTGTTCACTGGGCTTTTCAGCAAACCTAATAACACAAACACATAAGTCCATGAGGTGAGGAAACAGGGAGAGCATGGAATTCGGGAATCCTGTTATTTTCCAAATGGGAAGCTGCCAAAAGAAACCCTAGTTCTCAACCTCTGTGTTTGCAATGACATCTCAGGGGCCACTTGCTGGGTCTTGGTTTAACTCTCTATAAAATGGGCTTAATAGCCCTTTTGGTATAGATGAAAGAAACAAGCTTCCTGAGAATTGTGGCAAATCTCACTCCTCCCCTCCCAATTAGGCTGATCATTCTTGATGATAATTAGATGATATTAAACTCTCTACTCATTTTAGAAGCAAGTGAGAGTACACTGTGTTGTTGAATTCATAGGGCCTCATGGAATGAGCATGGACTTTATAGTTTGACAATTCTGGGTTCAAATTTGGGCTTTAGCCCTCATTGGCTGTGTGACCTGTTTCAATCTCTGAACCTCAGTTTTCTTATGTGTATGATGAGGATAATCATAGACAGCTCATAGGTTTATTATTGCGATGATAACGTGGCATAGAATCTATACAATGTCTGTTGCCTAGAAGGGTGTCAAGGACTGGTAGAATCTGATCAAATTAATTTCACAAGCATTTACTGATCATCTACTATGCGAGATAAACAAAGAACAGAACAAGAGCAGTTCCTGCTCTTCAGGAGCTTAGACTAGGCTTAGTGGGAAAAGGCAGGGTGATCCACAGCTAATTCGAATCAAAGGCAAGTTGTGTTAAGAGTGAGTAGAGATGGCAGAGCATAGGGACAGAAGTTTTGCCTGAGAAAATTAAAGACAATTTCACAGCTGTAGTAGAATGAGTGGATTGCATCTGCATGGCAAGCAGAGCACTAGGCCAGCAGAGAAATTCTGTGGATGATGTCCTGGGTCCCCACTGTGTTTCATTCTTTAGGCTCTGCTATTCACATCTACTTTCAAGCTTTTGATTACCATTTTTAGAGCAATGCCTCCCAAATTTCTATTACCCACCAGGCTCTTCTTTTGAGCAAAGCTTTATGCTCAAACCTCTTGGACATCTCTCTGTGCATGTTCCATGGGCATGACAAAAACAACACGTTCAAAACTGGATACATTATCCTCTCCTTAAAGCTCTCTCCTCCTCCTTCTCCTGGGCTCCTCCACTTATTGAGAGAACCGCTATTTAAACTGTCCAGAAACCTAGATGTCATCTTTCAAACTTCTGTCTTCCTCCTTCACAGCAGCTAAAGAGCCATGCTGTCCTATTTATTCTGTGTCATTAGCATTTCCACCTCTTTCTCTGACCTCTTCTATTGTCTGTCTCCTTGCGGGATGAGGGAAGAGTGGGCACATCTTCCCATCTCACTCCCTGCTGGAACCCCTTGAACTGTTTTAGAGAATCTGGCCACAGAATGTAATCCATGCTCATTAGCCTGGCATCCAAGGCCTTTCCTGGTGGGTCTCTACATTCATACCTCCTGTTGCTCTCTCCTACCTGGCCCAGGTGCCAGCAGGGCTGCATTACTGCAGTGCCACCACAGTCAATGCTCTTCATCATGTTAATCTTAGCATAGGTGTTATTTCTTCTGGGTAGAAATCCACTTGTTTCCTTGCCCCGCCATCACTCTTTGAGATTAATCGTCAACGTCCTCTAGGCACACAAGTGCCTATATTTGTTGTGCTTCCCAAAACATCTTATTCAAACACCAGAGTCTAGTCACCAGATGGTAAACCCCTTAAGGGCAGGGGTTTTGCTCACCATTGTATCCCAATGCCCAACGCAGCATCTGGCAAGTGGTAGAATCTCAGTAAATACATCATAACTTTCAGGGGTGATAATAACAATATTCACAACCAGATCCAGGTGTTGACCAATCAAAAAGCATGCCAACCAACATTGCCAGATGGGTGAATCTTAATGGAACAAAGGCCCTTATGACAGCCCACTTCGGGGTTTTTTGTATGGTTATTCAGTTTTCTTAATAAAATCTCAGCTGCTTAAGGGAAGGGAACCCATCCTCACTATCTTTATGTCTCTCACGCCAAGCTCACCATCTGGAACCTACAAATTGCTTAATTAAAGAATAGGGTCCTTGTCTTTATTGCCAGTCCTAGGATAAGGCATAGGTTATGGTGGGAACAATTCATATATCTGTGGTTAAAGTTGTTGAATATTTGTTAAATGGAAGAGCAGATAAAATAAAAAGATGGTTCTGGTGTCAGGAGATGGGAAATTCCTAAACCTAAAATGACCATAGAAAAAAAGGAACAGATTTTATCTCTCATCTGGGAGCCACAAGAAGCTGTTTCAAACTACAATATAAATAGTTTAGTAGCTAAGTAGCATCAGCAAGCTAATATTGATGTTTTGTACCAGAGAGGGTGTGGACTAGGGGTTGATACCTAGCATAGGTCTTTCCCTAAAAAGTCAACAAATTGGGGCCAGCCCAGTGGTGTAGTGATTAAGTTTGTGTGCTCTGCTTTGGCAGCCCAGGGTTCATGGTTTCGGATCCTGGGCACAGACGCACACACTGCTCATCAAGCTATGCTGTGGCAGCACCTCACATACAAAAAACAAAGGAAGACTGGCACAGATGTTAGCTCAGAGCCAATCTTGCTCACCAAAAAAAAAAAAAAAAAAAAAGTCCACGAATTAACCTAAGCCTAGATATTTAACAAAACCTCCAAATAACAGTTAGCAGCAGTGCTGAATTTCCATTCTAAGTTCTGTGGAGTCTGTTCTGAGGGGAAGAACATGTAAGGATGAGCACAGCATGAACAAATTCTTGGGAAGGTGAACTAGGGCCAGACAGTGAGCTGTGAAAGGCAGTTACAGTCTCCTGGCATTGGGGAGGTGGATGTCCTGTATGGACAACAGCATCCTGTGGGTCTCAAGAAGGCATCTCTCAGACCTGGCCCATAGAGCAGCACAAATGGATGTGACCAAGATATTCCTTTCACTAATTAGCCAACTACCAGAAATACCACCCAGGCTCCACAGGACTGATTCTGGTCCAGGGGAAGAAGGCTGAGGGGCAGGAGTGGAATTTCTCATTCTAACTCCCTGAACTCATGCCGGGCTACTTGCATCCCCTATGTCATTTAAACCTTCACAGTAATCCAGGGTCTTTAAGAGTCGGTGGGGTGAGGAGTAAAGTCACATTAGCTTATTGGCCCTCAGTTTTCTCATCTGGAAAATAGGAATAAAATGACTTATCCTTCAAGAGTGTTGTGACAACTAAGTGAGACAGCAAATGTTGAATACCAAGCATAGTTTTTGGCATGTGATAGGCCCTTGGTAAATGATCATTTCCAAGCCAGATTCCGTATTTATCTCATCACTGATGACAGAAACCAGACTTATTTACCTCTTTGTCCAAAATATTATCAGAACATATAGAATTATTCTTTATGGAAACTGAAGACAAAAAGAGTGGATAGTAAGGGAGAGTCATAAGTAGAGGGAGGGAGAATATGAACGCCCAGCTTCCTGGGGCAGCCATTTACTCAGAGAACGCCTGAATCACCACAGTTGTCTCTGAAGTCCAGGAAGAAGGAAGTGGCAGGTTAAGTCTGCTCTCAGGCCAGATGCCTGTGGAGCAGCCACGGTGGCTTGGGGAGTTTCTATGGCAACGGGACCTGGCAGAAACTTCACAGTGGGACTCAAACCGAGGTGACTTCTTAGGAGTTCCTGGCCTAGAGAACTGATCATCCCTCTGAGTAGGGGTTGTAGACAGTGGCAAGATGGAAACTACCAATAATACCCACCCCCTCCTCATCTAGGCTCTGTATTGCATTGCAGGAAGCAGAGACAGGAAAGAGAACTTCCATTTGTTGACTATTTACTGTGATCTAGGCACTATGTCTAGCACTTACATCCATCCAACCAGTTTTTATTGAACCTCAACTCTTTCCCTGCACTGTTCTAGGCACAGGGAAAATAATAGTGAACCAAACAGCCAACGTCCTTGAAGCTTACATTTCAGGGGAGGAGAATTATCTCATTTAATCCTTACAGCAAACTGTTGTTACTATCCCCATTTTACACACGAACAGAGGGACAGAACAATGAAATGACTTGTTTAAGGTCACCCAACATGTATGTGGCAGAGGTGGGATTAGATCCACTTCTTTCCGTCCTCTCCCCATATCATACTACCTCCCACTTCATCACAGAGTAAAGGTCCCATGATAGCATCATGTAGCTGAAGAAAGAGCATGGCCTTTGGAGCCAGATATGTCTATGTTCCAAGGCTGGCTTAACCACAAAATCTTCCTGTGACACCAACTGATCTAACCCTACTAGGACAAAATATTTCCATCCGAAAAATGGGAACACTAGTCTTCTTTCAGAGCTGATGTGAGGACGAAATAAGATAACCCATGTAATTGGCAGAAAAAAAGAGCTCAATAAATAATAGTTCCAGATCATAACATGAGCATCCTCAAATGGTTAGGGTCACGGTTATCCCTGGTTCACATCCCAGTTGGCAGTTCCCTCTCTATCACTTGCAGGGGAGTGAGCTGTGCTGTAGCAATAGAATTTCATCAGGGCGTATTGATTGCTGGAACTGGAGAAAGTTAATAATCTAATTTCCCTTTCATTTCCCCTTCCTTTTACCCCTCAACTCCTCTCATGGCAGCAGAGAATGGCATAAAATGCATTGCTTGAGAAATTCGGTCGGAAATAACTCAGCATTGTTGATCCACACGCTGCCTATAATTTGGGGTTTGATTGATTCTCAGTTTGGAAATGCCAGGTTGAGAGAAGCAAATCAAATTTAAGCTAAATTTGGAATTGAATCAATCACATTTTACAATGGAGAAAATAGATCTAACCCCAGCAGACCACTGTGTGTGGAAAACTTAAAGCTGCTGTACTCCTATTGATTTCATCCTCCCGATATCCGCAGGGAACGAGAGACTAGGTCCTAAGACGAGAAGTCATTTCTTTCTTGAAATAGCATATGGAGTTGAGGTGATGGAGGAACCCAGGACATTAGACAGATGGAGCCCAGGA